CCTAATACACAAGGGCTTCTCTTATCTTTGAGGCATCAACCATCAAAAACATAAGTTCATATACAGTGATTCTCCTTTAGAGTGAATGCAGAGAAGAGCAACTGATGAAATGCTTTCTAGTACACATTCTCTGATACTTATTTAGATTTGATTACTGATTAAGAACTTTCCTACATTTGTTTTTACATCATTCACATATCTTTCTTGTATAAACACACGCTCATGTTTTCTAAAGTGTGTATTTAGGAAAAATCTCTTTTATCACTTATCACATTACTAGTGTTTCTCTCCAATTATGTGTTCTCTGATGTTGAGTGAGGTGACAGCTCTGATTAAAGCCTTTGCCACTTTCCTTATATTTAGGTTTTTAAGTTTCTCTGAAGGATGAATCCTCTGATGTTGACCAACACTTGAGCTTTGGGTAAAGGCTTTGCCACAATTTTTTTACATCTGGATGATTTCTGCCCAATGTGAATTCGCTGATGTTGAGTAAGGCTTGAAATTTGGTTAGATTTTGCCACAATCCTTACATTTGTGAGATTTCTCTCCAAGTATGAATTATGTGATTTCTAGAAAGACTTGACTTCTGATTAGAGGCTTTACCACATTCTGTACATTTATAAGCCTTCCTTGTAGGATTAATTTGTCACAGTCTGTCCATTTATACTGCCTCTCCCCAGTATGAATTGTCTGATGTTGAGTTAGGCTTCCATCCTGCTTAAAAGACTTGTCACATTCTCTACATTTATAAGGCTTCTTTTCAGTATGAATTTGCTGATGTTGAATAAGATGTGAGCCACAGATAAAGGCTTTGCCACATTCTCTACATTTGTATAGAGTATCCTCAGTATGAATTCGCTGATGCATAGTGAGATATGAACACCTATTAAAGGCTTTGCCACATTCTCTGCATTTGTGAGGCTTTGCTCCAGTATGAATTACCTGATGTTGAGTAAGATTTGAGCAACAGGTATAGCCTTTGCCACACTCCTTACATGTATAAGGTCTCTCCCCAGTATGGGTTTGTTGATGTTGAGTAAGACACAAGGGACAGATAAAGGCTTTGCCACACTCTGTACATTTGAAAGGCTTCCTTTCTGTATGGATTTTCCTCTGGCTACTTAGATTTAATGATTTAGTGACTATTTTCCCACATGTGTTACACTTGTAATGTTTCTCCACATTCTGAATACTCTGCTGTTGAATAAGTTTACAAGACTGATAAGGAACTTTACTATATTTGCTACAATTATAAGCCTTCTTTCCAATATCCACACTTTTATACAGAGAAACATCTGCTTTGATAAAAGATATTCCTACATTTATTACTTCCCGACTCATTGTCTAAAAATTGATTTCCCTGATGTTTCATGAGACTTGAGCCTTGGTCAACGTTATGTCCAGTTTCATTGAATAAATACTTTCTCACTGCATCATAAAGACTCTTGTAATTATTGTAGGTAGAGCTCTTGCGTAAAGCCTTAATCATTTTATGACACATGAAAAGTTGACCCGCATTAACTACATCCCCATATGCATTGATCATTGATGTTTGAATAAAGTCTCTCCCATTATTATCAACATTGCAGATTTTGGAAAAGGGAAAAAATATCTGTTGTTTGAAGAATACTGAACCCTTGCTAAAGGATCCCTCAAGTTGATTACACTGGGAACCTTTTCCCTCATTTTTAAATTTCTGGTCTTCAGACATATTTGAATGTATGTTTAATTGAATACTGCATTCAGAGTGGCTTGAATGATTATCTGCAGTAGAGATTAGATGACTTTTCAGATTTTCCACAGTTCCTTTCATGGAACATGTATATGTAAAAAAATGATGTGGGTCTTTGCTGACAAACATACACTTCTGTGTAGATGTTAATGACTTAAATGGGTGTTTTTCCCAGTTTGATTCACATCCTTGATTTCTCTTGGCAGTAATGTTTACATTATGAGAAACTGTCCCAGTTTGGTTATGTCCATCATAACATCCTCTCTGCCCTTCACATGCCCTCGTATGTTCCCAGTCTTTCATTAAAGGTAAATTTACAAGGTGAAATATTTCATATAATTTTTGATTTTCTATTGGACATAAATCTTTGAAGCCTGGATTTCTTGGCATCACACACTGCATGTGTAGAGAAGACGCAGCTGAAAGGGCAAATAACAAGTTATTCTACTTACTATTCTCAGTGAATATAGTTTACAAATTACATAAAACTGATACACCCTTAGCTAGATTAAGAATGAAACAGAGAAGGAAGGAGTCAAGATGATAGAGGATTCGGAAGACATGGAATTCATCTTTCTACACGAATGCATCAAGAATACGTCTAGAAATGGAATCATTCTCACAGAGCCCCTTCTGAACACGAGCAGGGGACCTTGACACCTGAAAGGACAAGAAAGATCCCCTCATAGCCAGGCAGGACCAATGAGACAAGAAGGAAAAGGGTGAGGAGAGGAAGTGGGGCGGGACCCGCAACCCTAGAGGGGAGCTCACCGGGACGGAAGGGAGCCTCATTCTCTGATGGGAAGAGAAGGCAGCACCAGTCAGAGGCAGCAGGACAGAGTGAGACCTCGGCAGACGGTCCTGACCCCAGCCCTGCTCCCCCAAGCCTGAGAGGGTGTCCACCATTGCACACAAGGGCTGGGTCCTCAAATGTGGGGCTTGGAGAGCAGACCCAGGCAGAGGACTGCGGTTGGCTGTGAGGAGACACCTGAAGGGACGGGAGGGAGGGAGGAGCTCTGCAAACAGGATGCTTGTGGAGGAAGCCTGAACCACCATAGCGCAGAGCAGCATCGTCGAGTGATGCCCGAAGGGAAGAACCACCACTGCAGCCCCTCTCCTCCTACGCCAGCCCCTCCTGGCCAGGCACTAGCAGGCACTCCGACCGGGTTGGGTGATCTCACAACCCCAGCTGCTACCTCCTCCCCATGACCCTCCCCACCAGGGAGGACTCCTGTGCTCCAGGGTAGCCCTAGGAAAAGGCACCTGTGGGGGGCCCAAGTGCACTGAGGGGCGGAAAGCACAGCTGAGCCCCAGGGTCGTGCATCTAAGGAAGAAAAAGTGAAATCTCACAGCTGCACAGACCACGATTTTACCCCCCGCCACCAATTGGCTTTGTCAACTCAGCACCTACAGAAAGCCTGATTAGACAACAAGGACTCCCACAGTCCTGATAGGTGTAGCTGAGCAGCTGTAGGCTTTGTGAGCTTGTACTTGAGGGAGCTGGACCAGGCCAGAGTCTGAGCTGCCCCCACAGCTCCACAGCAGGTCCAGCTCCATGAATGCAATCCTGGGCCCTGACTTCAGTGGCTCTCTGCTGGTGAGCTGGTGAAAACAGCATCTGAGAGACACCAGGGCCATGTGCCAGCATGCCCATCGTTGAGGTGGGGCCAAGTGCAGTGCCAACCAGGGTCACATGAGAGCTCGCACAAGGCATGAAGGTGACGCACAGAGCACTCCCCGAGGGGAACGGCCCCAGAGCAGCAGTCCTCAGGGGCTTCTCTCCTGGGGGTGTGCTCCAATCCCACCTGCCTCCACCACAGATCAGAATCCCAGTGAAGAAACAGATCTGGGGGCTTCTACTCCACCAACCAGGGAGCAGACCCTCCACAGACAGGGCGGTGACAGCCGCAGAGCCAAGGGGAGGCTCCCCTCAATATCCAGGGCAGGCTCGGGTCACAGTAACAGCAACCCAAAGTCCATCAAGGGGGTAAGGGCGCAAGCCCCTGGACCAACCTCGGCCCCCATGGGGCACACACCAGGAGCAAGAGGAACTATTAACACGATCCTGCAGGCTGCAGAAAGGAAACCACAAGCACAGAAAATTTCACAAAATGAGATGAAGAATGAAAAAGAAATCTGTTGTAGAGAAAGGACCCAGATAAAAAACCTACAAGAACAACTAAATTAAGAATAGATAGTTAATCTAATGATTACTTTTTGCTTTAAGTAATCTTAAATTGAGATACCAAACATTTTCACAAATACTAGGTGCCTATTAGTTCTTTAACCCGCTTTTTACCACATGTGTTTTTACTTGAGCATATTCTATTAGACGTTTGAATCTAAAAATCATAAGCGATATTGGCATAGAACTAATCAGAAAGTGAGGATGTATAGCATAAAGTCCTGGGATGCTTCATAACAAACAAGATAAACTTAATAGAAGTAGTAGTTCTTATGAAATTAAATAAGAAGTGAGACTTTAAAAATGTGGTAAGAATAAAGCGAGCTCTATTCAGTGTTCTGTGGAGACCTAAGTGAGGAGGAAAGCTAAAGAAGTGTGTGTGTGTGTGTGTGTGTGTGTGTGTGTGTGTGTATTATATTTTTAAAGATTTCTTCACATAATCTAAAAAGCTTAATAGTGAGAAACAACCAGAAAAAAATACGGTAGAAAATGTTCTAAGCTCTCCTGCCAATTTATTTTGACCTTCTTTGAGTTAAATGAATATATTAAAGTATTTTAACATTGAGGAATCGGGACAAATACTCTTAAGATATTTAACATGAGTTCATATAAAGAAAAGAGAAACTTTGACATAAACCTGGGATTTGCATTTTCTCATTTTAGGGAGATTTGGCTTTATGCAGTGAAGAAATTATTTGTGTATGAAATTTATAAGGCCATATTTGTAGTTTCCAGTGGATTAGAAATTTTAAAGCAGAAAACAAGTGTCTGTCCCCAGTATTTCTAGAACTTTGGCAGTTTGTCTACAACTCCACCCAAACACTTCTGTCTAGATGTAGAAACAAACTTTAAAAGCAGTGTCATAGAGTTACTCAGAAATGGACACAGTTTTCCTAAGATCCCCAAGAAATGAAAGAGCAGCCAACTCATGAAGGTTGTCACAGGCCAAGGGGAGAATTTCAGTTCTCATTGAGTGAGAAAAGTAATCCCTAGAGATGAACTCAGTAATGATTAGAGAGACAGAATGGGGTAAGTGATATCCATCTATGACAGCAACAGAAATAAACCCAGACTTCTCCAAAATCATTTCCACTGAAGCAGATTTTCCCAAACCACATGACAAAGGCTGATTTCCTCACTGATCCTTGGACCTCTCACCTGAGTCATAGGCTCCATCCATTCAGACATACCTGTGTATATGGGTGTTGTCTCCATTCTCCTTATATTCCTGGAATCCTTCATTTGCTCCAGAAAGGTGACCAGGTATGGCTTAGAGACCACAAGACCTGTTCATCAGAGAAAGGAGATTCATCAGTTTACAATTCAATATGTACTCAGGTGAGAAGACAAGGTGTGGTAGAATATTAAGACAGCCTAGAAAAATGATTTCTCCAAATACTTTATTGAAAGCACCTATAAACACTAACAAAAACATAAAGAACAGATCCTGAGCTTCTGGTCTAGTACTATTAGGGAAAAGTAAGTAGTGGAGACGAGGATACAACTATTTTATACCACTGAACTTATAAAATTCCTAGTAATCTAGACAGAAGGAGGCAGATTATCTCAAGAAAGAGGAAGGCTGGAATAATAAAGAATCATCAGTAAATCTTTCTAATCTCACAAACTCCCCTTCTTTTCCTAGAAAGCAGGGATCTGAAACTCTTATTATAAGAAGCAGAAGATTCCAGGAGATTTCTAGAAATGAAGGAACCATAACCCAGTGGGTGGATAAGGGATTCTGGAAGGAAGTTATCCTCACCCAAGGAGGCCAGGTTCCTGTAGTTCTCTAACATCACATCCCTATACAATTCCCGCTGACCGAGGTCCAGGCATTCCCACTCCTCTTGAGTGAAGTCTATGGCCACATCCTGGAATGTCAGCCGTCCCTGAAATACAAAGTACAGATGCCATGTGGCCGTGGGAAAACTTCCTAATGTGACCCAAGATGGAAACAGCAAGAGAAATGGTTTTGATTCAGGAGAATGTCTGGTGTTACACAAGAATAAAATTTTCCACACTAATATTCTCTACCATATTTCTAACTCCAGAAAAAAAGAAGATGGTGTATGATTCACAAAACCACTGTAGAGATCCTTTTCATCTGGGAGAAAAACCATGGTATGGTGTGATCTATAGAGGCATGTTTATTTAGAATATTGTTCTTGTGTTATACAGGATAAATTGTCAACCAAACTGGGAATAGTTTTCTCCAAACTGGGAATATTTTAAAAAATGAGATTCTAATTCAGGAACTCTGGAGTGGGGCCAGAGTTGTTCTTCTGTAACAAGCTCATTTCTAACTAATCTCGGCTTCATGAATGCCATTGTGAGTAGCACAGAGGTAGAACAGCCAGGTAGGGCTTCCCTGGTGGCTCAGCTGGTAAAGAATCTGCCTGCAATGTGGGAGACCTGGATTCGACCCCTGGGTCGAGAAGATCCCCTGGAGCAGGGAACGGCTACCCACTTCAGTATCCTGGCCTGGAGAATTCCATGGACTGTATAGTCCATGGGATTGCAAAGACTTGAGCAGCCAGGTAAGAATTCATAGTTAATACTGAACTGTACTTGTATTACAGATTTTACAGGTTTAATAGAATAGTAAACATAAAAACAGTCCTGTTGATAGTGTATACCATATATCTTTCTAAAAGTTTTTACAGTCTTGAATGAGCCACATAAATAATTTAGATCAATAATATTGCTATAACACTACAACACCAGGGCTTCCCTGGTGGCTCAGGTGGTAAAACATCTGCCTGCAATACGGGAGACTCGGGTTCAGTTCCTGGGTCGGGAAGATCCCCTGGAGAAGGAAATTGCAACCCACTCCAGTACTCTTGCTTGGAAAATTTCATGGACTGAGAAGCCTGGTAGGCTAGAGTCCATGGGGTCGCAGAGAGTAGGACACGACTGAGTGACTTCACTTTCACTTTAACACTTATTTTAGAATATTTTGTCAGGTATTCAGTAAATGGTAGAGCTTGGGTTTTCTTTAGTTGATGTGGACTAGAATTTATTTTAAAAAAACACACTTTTTTTCTGTCTTCTAACTTTATTGAGGTTTTCAATGGCTAAGTCAAGGATCTCTCTTTGTAAATGTCACATTGCACTTGAAAACATCTTTTGATATTTGTTCTAAGACAATTCCACATTGATAAGAGAACAGACTCTATGATTTCAAAAACTTTAGACCGTGAAATTTTTGTACCTTGTTTTACGTACCGAGATATGTTCCAGTTGGAGAAGAAAATGGCAACCCAGTCTAGTATTCTTGCCTGCAGAATCCCATAGATAGAAGAGCCTGGTAGGCTAGAGTCCATGGGGTCACAAAGAGTCAGATACAACTGAAGTGACTTAGCACATATGTTCCAGTGTCTCCTAGTTTACAGGCTATTGGAAGTCAAATAGAATTTGTATCCTACTGTTGTGCCCAATTTATATAAATCTTAATTATGTTGAATTGGTTCATGGTGCTTTTCAGGTCTAACTGTATCCTTCTACTTTAGAAATTAAATTAAATAAGCTTTAATAAATCATAATCCATTCATTTTAGAATGAATATTCTATTAACTTTGGAGAGCTTGATATTGAAACTCCAACTAAAAATCTTAATTTATCTACTTAAAAAGACAAATGTATTATATAGTGGAACTATATGTAACTTTGTTCTGTGTTTTACATGTCTCCTGTAAATGTGTTATCACACTTTCATAGTACAAAAAAGAAAAAATAAAAAGAACACAGAGAAATATACAGAGACAACTCTAATAAATGTGTACACAGTGTAGGTAATTGGGAAGAACATCAAGAATATACTCAAAAAATGAATCAAATAATGTTAACATTTTCAGGCACATACCTACACTAAAATGGGAACTATATACAATTTTATACATTTATATAATTGATAAAAAGTATTCAGTAAAATCAAGATGATTTTTCACTGGTTAAATCTTACCATTTTTTGTGGATGATAATCTGTATTTTTTAAATATGCTAATGTGCAAACACACATACCAATATGAAATAAATTAGGACTCTAAATTAGAGTCCTTTATTTCTTTCAACATCTGTATCATTGTGTTGAGCTATATTTTAGCTCAATTTAACACAGTTGCACAAACATTAGGCATCTGATTATTGTAAGTGCTTTGGAAAATAAAAAGAGGTGATACGATTATGTCTGAGACATGAGGGTGGGGTGTGACAGAAACTAGCGGACCTGGGTAAGGAAACCTCCACTCCCAAAATCCAATATCCCTGCTAAACACAGGTGTGTTCATCAGTCAAAGCAAAGATAAACTAAGAAGGTATGGATGTCTACCATAACTGGTGGCTTACACATGTCCCTCACTAAATCATCCGAAATCTCTATTAAAGATAAAGAGAAAAAAAATGTGAACATCATAGTGCTGGAATCTCACAGTACCTGAGTGAGGTAACATGTAGTGTAATGGGATAAATGGTAGCAGTGACCTGAATTGACCCTTAAAAATGTCAGTTTCTAAAAATTTCACTTCATATATACCGCCCCTGTTCTGTATCCTATGAGTATATTTTAAGAGTGAGTCATTTTAATAATATAGACATTACACTATTATATGTTGTTTCAAAATTTTCTGAAAAATTCTGGATCACTGAGTTCACTCTATTTATAACTGCATTTTCTTTCTGTTCTGAAGAGCTGAAGTTGCATCCAGATGTAAACTCATCACTGCATTTCCTCTACTTCCCTAAGAGCCCAACACCAAACCACATCCCAGTGGGAATCTTGGATACCAGTGCCTCTCCGTGTTGATCTCTTACAAAGGGAATATATTCACCAGTTGAAAGTCACTAATTCACTTTGAGAATTCATTTTCTATAGAAAGCTGGGATACAGACAACGGAGAAAAGGCTCTGGGACATCAGGGAGAAGAGCTGGTCTTCACTATTGTAGGGAAAAGTAAATAGTTGAAAACAAACATCCCAGGCCAAAAAAATATGAGTAGAGAATTAAAGGTTTGTAGGTTCTCTCAGTCCAGGCATTTCAGGAGGAAAAGCAGACACAGCCCCAGACCCGGGATAGGACATGTACCTGAGAAGCTGCCATTTCCTCCTCTTCTTCCTCCTGCTCTGCATCTTCTCTGGGGATGTTACATAGCAAACACACCTCTGCATCTTGAGAAAATACCTTCAAAGGCATCCGCGCAGCTCTTTAACCTGCAACCACCTCACCTACAGACAGAAAGACCTTGAAAAGCTGAAAAGACCCACGTCTCCTGTCTTCTCTCGAGAGATTCAGGAACAATCACTTCCTACCTGGAGACCAGCCTGTGGACTTATATCTTGATTGTTCTCTCCTCATCGAGAGCTCCTAACCCTAGGCTCACACAGACCATGTGAGCTGACTGACTTCCCTGGTCCAAATCCAGCTAGACCAACCCTGCTGCCTCTCCTCAGACTGAAGCCCGGCCTCATCTCTCAAAAATGGACCAGAAGCCACGTCCTTAACCCAGGCCTCCCCTTAGAAGTCCCTAGAGCACTTCCTACAAAACACACTGATGCTCCCACAGGACCAACAAAGAAATCCGTAGGGAGAGCACCAGGGAGGTTATTGCTTAACACTGGTCATGTGATCCTGATAGGCAACCAGGTGGAAACCACTTGGATAAAGATTCTTTCTGAGCCAGTTCTGTGTATATAATCCCTTGAGGTCAGGTCCCCACTCTAAGAAGTCATGAATTTGCAGGTCTGAAGTGGGGCCATGAAATCAGTCTTCAGCAAGTTCCCTGTTTGTTCTGATGTTTCTCCCTCACGACCCACATTCAGGAGGCCTGAGGTCGAGCCCTTAAACTCAGCACACCTGAGACTTCTCTGTGGGGTAGGATTTAGGGAAGGAATTTCCTAGGGAGGTCAAGGCAAGAGCCAGACACAGAAAGAGGCAGTAATTGGGCTTCAGACCTTTATAATTGACCCTGAGTGAAGTGCTCTGGGCTCCCCAGGCTGAGTGTGGATGGGTCCATTCAAACCAAAAGGAGCAGGATTCTGGTGAGTTCTGTGAGGGTGGCACTGAAGGGGGACCTGTGAAGTAGAACCTGGGGTTCAGCAAGACTGCTGATCTCAAGGAAGGGGGTCATCTAGTGCAGGTGCTCACAGGACTGACTGGTGTGAGTTCAAGGACCTGCAGGCTGCCTGCTCCCCAGACAGATGCTGAGGCAGCAACAGCATGGAGCAGTTCGGGGGAGCTCTCAACAGTACTCTGTATGATCCTTCTTATTAGAACCATTACAATGTCCCTGCAGTTACAGAGAGGGGGAAAAGATACAGTGTAGAAATGGTGGAAAATATATGACGTTATTAGAGATTTAAAGCCAGTAAGGAAACTAGTTTCTACAGATGCCATCCCTCTGTGCTACCAAATAGTTTATTGTTATGATCGCCTCCCTGCAACCTTTAATAAGGTGGGAGAGGTTAATGTTGGTGGTGGGTTAACACTTCATTCATTAAAATCAATAATAAAAACCATTCACTTTTTATTAATTAGCATGTTAGCACACATAGTTGAAATAAAACATTTTACAATTCACTGTGTGAGCATTGATTAAAATACAAATTACAGGTGTAGAGAAAGCTATTTATTTTCCTGATATAACAATCCGAGAATTGTGATTTCTGTGATTTACAAAACAGAAGCTAGTAAACAGACATGCACCACTTCTATGACTTCTTCGGGGTTTCCCATACATTTCTAGGTTATCACAGAAGAAGTCTTTATTTCAATGTTGTCAACTAATGTTCATGACTTCTGATGATATTATCAACATAACATCAATATTTTAGTGAGCTGTCGTGTTCTCACAAATCAAGTGATACAACTATTGAAAATTTAGAACCAATCTGTCTTACTTTAATACATGAAAACATTCCATGATCACTCGCATCATGGTGACCTCCAAGGATATCTGACACGAATAACAAACACCTCCAGTTAGATGTTCGTTGTACATTTCACATCACGGTGTCCATCTTCTAATGGACAATAGATATAAATGCTTGCAACACAATATAGAAGGGTTTCTCTTCTCTTTGAAGCACAAACCATCAAAAACATACATTTTTTTGCATACACACTAGAAGCGAAGCATAGTATGGATTGTTTGAGTTGAATGGCATTCACTTGGTTTTCAAATAATTTCAAATTATGTCATTATAAACAAGGATACATCGCTAATCATTGTCACTTTCTAAGCATCAACTCTCCCTCTCAGGAGCCACACTAAGTCACTCAGTCACTGATTGGCTGGGAGGCAGGCCCGTGCAGTTGCTGATTGGCTGCCGGGTAGACGCTTACATCACACGCTCAGGAGGCACGCAGCCAGGATCTAGGGTGGTTTCCACACAGCCTTCCTTTTATAGATACATAGGGCGTCGTGGGGCCTCACGAGGCCTCACGCGGCTGCACTTGGGCTGTTGGCTCTCCTGTCAGTTGTTGAGTGGAGAACCTGCGCTGGCACTGGCCAGACTGGGCTTCCATGAGAGTCGGGCATCTCTGTCAGTCACTGTGATCTTGAGCAGTTAAGCAGCCGGAAGTGGGTGAGGCCTCCCAAGGTGGCTGTCCGGCCGGAGAGGCCCCCGAGGCCAATTCTGGATCAGGTTGGGAGGCTCCCTGAGAGCCAGCTCACCAGCTAGCCAGTCAGTTCACCGGGAGCCTGCCTCTGTATTCGTCAGCCTGCCACCAAGTGGGTCTCCCGCTCAGCCTGAAGAACAGCCAGGGGATCACCAATCACCAATAAGACTGTCAGTCTCTCTGTCAACGGAGGATCAGGCTAGTGCCCTGATGAGTCTGCAGTGAGTCCCCTCATAAATCATTTAATCGGATAATCCACCCCTTCACAGCCTACCTTGTTAATCAGTCCAATTAGGCTCCCTGTAAATCAGCTTCCTAATAAGCTAATCCCCCTACAAGGCACTCAGTCATTAGTCACACAGTTATCCTGCGTGTAAGCCAGCTAATCGGTTTTACTGTTAGTCCTTGATTTCTCTAGAAAATTCGCTTTCCAGGCTCCTAAGTAGGTCAGTCATCCAGAAGTCAGTCCCGTCCTTACCAAGTCTGGAAAGGTTGCTGCATCACTTGCACTCTGCTTTGGAAATATACAGACAGAGGTGTGCTGAGGTCAAAGAACTGCCTGGGGCCCTTGGAATGAGAGACAAAGGTAAAATTGAGAGGAGAGGTGATGGATGAAGGGAAATAGAAGGAGAGGGGAAAAAAGAGGGTGCATGTGGAGTCATTCAGCTCATCTCTAAAGACCGGCAGAGAGGAGCAAGAAGAAATCAGAATTTTAGAGCTTGGCCGATCATTACATCTCAAACAGTCAAGCTCACTCATGTTATAGATGAGGAAATAAAAGGAGGGACTTCCCTTGTATTTCAGTGGCTAAGACTAGTGCTCCCAATGAAGGGAGGCTCGGTTCGATCCCTGGTCAGGGAACTAGATCCCATGAGCCGCAACCAAGATGCCATGGAGTCAAATAGATAAGTATAGATTAAAAAAAAAAATTTAAAAACCAGAAAGGGTAAAATAGTTGACCAAGGTTATTTAGTGATTTACTGGCCAAGCCTGGGCCAGGACCCAGACAGGGCTCATCCCAACACCCAAATGCAGTTTTAAATTGGAGAACGGAAAAAGGAATAAAAATGGCAGTGCAAAAAGGGAATGGTTGTAGGGTGTGAAGAAGAGAAAATACTATCATTTCACCCCAGAATCTATCCTCAGTACAGTAAGGATCTCCACAGCTGCCACCCTCGGCTAAGCCATCATCATATTTTCTGGCTGGCTTCGTGGTCTCCCACTGGCCTCTGTGCTTTTGCTCTAGCCCCTGATGTGGTCCATTTTTCACACAGCAGCCAGAGGGAACACAAAACCAAATTAATCAGTTCATGGTCACACCTCTTAATTCACTCCAATGGAATTGCATTCATATTCCTCCTTATGCCTTATAGGAGCTGAGCTCACCGGGTATCTGACCTTGTCTCATGCCAGTCTCCCCCCTCCCTCACTGACTTCAGCAGCTCACTTTTTTCTCTCTTAAACATGCTGAACTCCTCAAACATTGCAGTTGCTATTCCCTCAACCTGCAATTTTCCTTCCCCCAGCTTGGCCTGGCTTTCCTTCCTCTAGGTTTCTGCGCAAATGTCACTTTCTCAAAGAAGGCTTCTTTGACCTCCCTATCTGAACTGTTTCCCCATTGTCCCCATCCCATAATTCTCTATCATGTTTTTCTGGGTTCTTTTTCTTCATTGTATTTACAGCTATCAAGTTATGCTCATGGTCAACTTCATTTTTGAGGACAGAGATTGTGTCATTCTTGCTTACTGCTAAAACCCTAAAGTAGTACCTGGCATAAAGGAGGTGCTCAAACATGCTGGTTGACTGAAAGAATGAATGAAGAGTGCCATCACAAAGGCATGTGCTTCTTGGGACTTCTCTGGTGGTCCAGTGGTTAAGACTCTGTGCTTCCAATGTAGGGGGCCCAGGTTTGATCCCTCCTGGGGGAACTAAGATCCCACATGCTGGCTGTGTGTCATTGCCAGAAACAAACATGGCACATGCTTCTGGAGAAAGGTCCCTGAGAAGGGGCAGACTGCTCTTTGATGTAGTTTCTATAGAGTGGTAGGGGATGAGATCAGACAGGGAAAGGGAAAGGAGGGAATGGACCACATCGTGTACAACTTTGCCTTTTACTCTTGAGTGAGATGAGAACCGTTTGGGGAGTTTTGAGAAGAGAAGGGGGCAGAATGATACTGAGGTGTTGATGGAATCCCTCCAGCTGCCATGCAGGGAGTAGCGTGTATGGAACACAGATGAAACAGCCAAGCCAATGAGAAGATCATGGCAGCCGTCTGGGGAGGAGGATGGTGGTTTGGGCCAGGGTGGCAGCAGTGCTGCTGATTAGAAGTGGCCAGACTTTGAATATATTTTGGAAAACAATACCAACAGTATTTTCTGACATATAAAAGAGTAGTCAAAGTGGACTCTGAGGTCTTGATTCTTGATTTCTTCCTGAATGTGATTTTATTTGATTTAGAGACATTTTCCTAAATTTTAGGTGACTTTTTCCTTTTTCTGAGATGAGGGCTACATTGCTGCATGCATGCTCAGTCTTGTCCAACTCTTTTCGACCCCATGTACTGTAGCCCATCAGG